GACAAGGAGATCCTATTTCCCCGTTTCTCTCCACTTTGGTGGTCTATGAACTGAGTAGATTGATGCACAAGGCTGGTCGTTTGGAGGTAGTTAGAGGTTTCAGGATTGGCAGTGAACAAATTCACATCTCACACCTTCAATTTGCGGATGACACCTTTTTCTTCCTTGAACCATCGAGAGAAAATGTTTGAAACACGACTGCCATTCTAAAATTTTTTCCACATTGTTTAGGCCTTTGGATAAACATGGGAAAAAGCATTTTAAATGGGATTAATGTGGAGGAGGAGAGTATTCGGGTCTTGGCTCTTGAATTGGGATGTGAAGGAGGATCTTGGCCTATGAAATATTTAGGTCTCCCTTTGGGTGGAAATCCTTTATCTTGTGAATTCTGGAACCCAGTTGTGGAGAAGGTATCCAAGAGATTGGATTCATGGAAAAAAGGTTTCTTATCTAGGAGGGAGATTAACTCTCATCCAATCAGTTTTGGCAAGCATCTCCATCTATTTTCTATCTTTGTTCAAGTTACCGGTGGCGGTGTCCCGAGACATTAAAGATAAAATGAGGGGATTTTTGTGGGATGGAGTAGAGGATGGGAGAGTAGAAAATCTTGTAGCCTGGAAAATAGTGTCTCGGCCTAAAGAAGAAGGGAGTTTGGAAATAGGAAAGTTACTGAAGAAGAATCAAGCCTTGTTGGGAAAATGGTTATGGAGGCTCCCTTTAGAACAAGACTCATTATGGGCCTCGGTAATTAGACTCTAACTTGGTAAGAAGAGGATCTCATAGGAATCCTTGGAAATTTATCTCTCAAGGTGTAAATTCTTTTCTTCAAAGGGTGAGTTGGGAAGTGGGAGATGGTAGTAAAATTAGATTTTGGGAAGATAATTGGTGTGGTGATTTGCCTTTTGCAATCATCTTTCCTAGGCTTTATAGCCTAATCTCAGAGAATGAGGTGAAAATTAGAGACGTAGTAATTAGAGTTGACAACTCAATCATTAATTGGAATTTTGGTTTTTGTAGAAATCTTAATGATAGAGAGTCTATTCAAATTGAAAATCTCATGACAGCCTTGGGGACTTTTTCTCCTAGGCATTCTTACTCTGTTAAAAGAGTGTGGAGTTGTGATTCCAATGGCTTCTCTTGCAATTCCTTTTTTCTTTCTTTAGCTAAAGACCAGAATATACCTCTCTTTGAACCCTATAAATTCATTTGGAAGTCGTGTGCTCCTATTAGAATTAAGGTTTTTGCCTGGCTATTTTTTCACAGAAGATTGAACACGTGATTTAGTGCAGAGGAAATGACCTCTGGTTGTTTTGTCTCCAAATTGGTGTGTAATGTGCATATCAAAATCTAAATCTATGGATCATTTGTTTTTGCATTGTGACTAGGCTCGGAGACTTTGGTCGAAGCTATTAGGGGCGGCAGATTTAAGTTGGGTCTTTCCAGCACATAGTAGTGCGGTTCTAGTGGAAGACTGGTTCGGCTTTGGAAAGAACAAGACAGCCCAGACAATTTGGCGTGCAATGTGTTTCGCTATCCTCTGGGTCATTTGGCGGGAGAGAAATCAGAGAATTTTTGAAGATAAAGAGATATCATTCAGGGATTTATTCGAGAAAGCAAAGTATCTAGCGTCTATTTGGGCTTCAACAGATGCAACTTTTAAATGGAATCGCTAAAAGGAAAAATGGTCATCTTCTTGATACAACCCGAGCATTTCTGTTTCACAATAATGTGCCTAAATCTTATTGGGGTGGAAGCAGTGTTAACAGACGCATACCTTATAAATAGGTTACCGTCCAGAGTATTGGATTTCAAGAGTCCTATGAAAACACTTTCTAAATTCTATCATAACCTCCGTACTTCCAACCATCTCATTCCTAAGATTTTTGGGTGCGTGTCCTATGTCTATGTTCACAATTCAAACAAGGGAAAGTTAGATCCAAGAGCAATTGCATGTGTTTTTGTGGGCTACTCTCCAACTCAAAAGGGATACACAAGTGCTACCATCCATCTTCTAAGAAGTTTATACTTCTGCAGATGTCACTTTCAACGAAAAAGAATCCTACTTTTCCACTCCTTATCTTCAGGGGGAGAATACGGTCATGGAAGATAAGGATTTCTTTCTCCTCGATCTGCCTTCCTCATCAACACCCGTGCTTCCCACTCCTTCCTCATCAACACCTGTGCTGCCCGCTTCTTCCTCATCAACACCCGTGCTTCCCACTCCTACTATGTTTGATGATTCTATACCTGAGTCTCTTGTTGAGCCTGATGAACCCGTCCACATTCGTCTTGTTGAACCCGTGCCTATTGTTGAAACCATGCCTACTCAGCTGTCCCCGTTTGCTAAAGTGTACTCGAGAAAGAAAGCTTCAATCCCAAAACTTACACATGTCCAAGGATCTGACCCAAGCCCAGGAAATGAGGTAACATCTTCTAGCTCTCCTTCACAGACACCCGTGCTTCCCACTCCTACTATGTTTGATGATTCTATATCTGAGTCTCTTGTTGAGCCTGATGAACCCGTCCACATTCGTCTTGTTGAACCTGTGCCTATTGTTGAAACCATGCCTACTTAGTTGTCCCCGTTTGCTAAAGTGTACTCGAGAAAAAAAGCTTCAATCCCGAAACTTACACCTATCTGAGGATCTGACCCGAGCCCAGGAAATGAGGTAACATCTTCTAGCTCTCCTTTACAAACTAAATCAAAAAACCATTCGAGTAGCAACTCATATTTGAATCTCCCCATTGCCATTAGGAAGGGAACTAGGGAATGTACCAATTACCCATTGTATCCACTTTCTCATGTTGTGTCATTTGAAAATTTTTCACCAACACATAGGAGTTTTCTTACAAGTATGAATAGTATTCACATACCCACCAGTTTATCCAAGGTTTTATCTAATGAAAACTGGAAACATGCTATGTATGTTGAGATGCATGCATTAGAGAAGAACAAGACATGGGAGTTGGTGACGTTACCTGCAGGAAAAAAACCAATGGGATGCAAGTGGGTATACACGGTGAAATATAAAGCAGATGGGTCATTAGAGAGGTACAAGGCGAGATTGGTAGCCAAAGGATATACTCAGACATATGGAGTAGATTATTAAGAGACGTTTGCTCCAGTAGCCAAGATGAATACCGTCATAATTCTACTGTCCGTAGCCGCCAACTATAATTGGGATTTGCAGCATTTTTTATGTCAAAAATGCATTTCTACATGGAGATCTTGAAGAGGAGATTTATACGGAGATTCCACCAGGATTTGGAAGGAACATAGCTGCTAATCAAGTATGCAAACTTTAGCCTTGTATGGGCTTGAAGCAATTTCCAAGGGCATGGTTTGGAAGGTTTGCAAACGTGATGACAGAGATGGGATACAGAAAAAGTCAAGGGGATCATACGTTTTTTGTCAAGCATTCAAATTCAGGGGGAGTGACCGCTCTCTTGGTATATGTTGATAATATCATCATAACAGGGAATGATCAAAAGGAGAGACAAGTTTTGAAGCATTATTTGGCCAAGGAATTCGAGATCAAGGAATTAGGAAGGCTGAAATCCAAGGAATTGAGGTTACACATTCAAATAAGGGAATTTTCATCTCCCAGCAAAAGTATGTTATGGACCTTCTCAAGGAAACTGGGAAGTTGGCATGAAGCCGGTGAGCACACCGATAGATCCCAACCACAAACTTGGAGAGGCTGAGGAAGATGCTGCTGTGGATAAAGAAAGGTATCAATGACTTGTAGGGAGACTAATTTATCTATCTCACACAAGACCGGATATAGCCTATGCATAGTCCAAAAGAAGTTCATTTGCAAGCCGTCAACCGAGTGTTACAGTATCTTAATGGAACTCCAGGGAAGGGTATCTTGTTCAACAAGAGCATGGGGCTAGTACTTGAAGCATACACCGATGCAGACTACGCCGAGTCTATAGTGGATAAAAGATCAACCACCGGGTATTGTACCTTTCTTGGTGGGAATTTTGTGACATGGAGGAATAAGAAACAAAATGTTTTGGCAAGATCCAGTGCTGAAGCAAAATTTCGAACAATGGCCCAAGGGTTTTGCAAGTTACTATGGTTGAAGATTATATTGGAAGATTTGAAGATCAGGTGGGGTAGTCCAATGAGACTTTACTGCGACAAGTCTGCAATCAGCATTGCACATAACCCAGTATAGCATGATCGAACAAAACAAATAGAAATCGATAGACATTTCACTAAGGAGAAGTTAGAGAGTGGATTGATCTGTACCCCTTATACGCCTACGAACTACCAGCTTGTGGATGTGATGACCAAAGGTTTAAGTAGTACGGCATTTCAAACGAAGGTTTCTAAGCTGGGAATGGAAAATATCTATTCACTAGCTTGAGGGGGAGTGTGGGAAAGTATGAGCTGTAGATATACATAATTAGGGTGTGATTTGTCAATCAGAGGATTTGGTTGACATTCCATAATTAGAGGATTTGATCTGATTGATTTTGCATTGAGTAGTTTCCTTATTTGTAGCTAGGGATGATTGTATATATATGTGACCCTTGTACAGGATTATACATAATAGAAAAAAAAAAAAAAAAATTCTTCTCCCCTTTGCTTTTCTATTTTTCCACATTTAGTACCCCTAATTTTGTTAAGCTGGGATGATGTACTGAGATAAACTCTACATAATGCTTGATTTGTGATTTTTACTTTATTTTCGTTATTGCTTTAATCCGTTGTAGGTGGATCACTCGTCCATCTACGCTTCTTCATTTGTAACGTAATGTTTTCATTATTAATGAAGTTTTTTTTCTTATAAAAAAAAGTTGATGTCCCTAGAATTACTCTCTATAATTTACAGATGTACAACAAAAATTGTCTTCTATAGATTCTACATTCTTGACCAAATTACTACTATGTGCTTGAGAAAATAGTATCTTTCTTCTTTTGTAAAGTGCCTTCTATAGATTCTACATTCTTAATCAAATTACAGCTATAGTGCTTAAGAAAATAGTACCTTTCTTCTTTTGTGATCAACAGATTCAAGGGCTGAACGCAACTTCGCCACTTGAGCTACATCTTCTGCCTCCTCTGTTGCCAAAGTACCAGCAATATCCTGATGTTCCAAATAGAAGTTTTCAATATCTTACAATCCGTAGAGACAGGCATACATCCTAAGAGTGCAAAATTTTAACACTTAAAACAAATAAATAGATGGAAGGAAAACATTCTCAGATAAGTTTACAGTTGTGGCCCTCGTGCATTTATAAGAACATCTATTGTGCCTAGCCTAATGAGTTCGTGTTCTTCATAGGTCCCACTTAAAAATCTAAGAATACCTTCAAGTGCTGTAGCTGAGAACTATAAACTCTCTTTGCATACTCAGATAGAAGTTGGCCAAGAGCATCTGTACTTGGAGGCATTGCAGCACCAAGTCCAGCCATCCAACCATCCATAATTGTAGTTGAAAGAAGCTCCAATTGACCAGTTGTCCCGCCAGAAGCATCATCTCCAGTAACGGAAAGAAAGTCAAAACTCTCTGCAAGCCACGATCTAATTTGGCGCTGCAGCTCACCTGCAGGAGTATGAACAAAAAGAGCAGCAAGAGCTTTGTTTCCAATTGCAAAACCCTTGGCTTCCTCGTGTATTTCCCTGAGCTTTCCACCAGTTACTTGTTGCTTTGGAGAATCCTGTACATTGAAGAGTTTAAACCTTAAGTCTAGTGCCTATCTCAATCATTTGGGACATAATTTTTTTTATCCCAGAATAATCGACCACGCATTATAGGGCAAAGAAAAGAGCACCAGCATGCAGGTTATCCGGCAACGATTTTATATCAAAAGGAAGTTTAACAAAAATATGAATGTTAAAAGAATTAGTTGTATAGTCAAATACTTCCATGAATTCACACAAAGGGAAAAACAAGTATGCTTTCACTGCTTGAAACGAATACATAGCAGATGGCAGCCAACCTGATCCAGTCCTCGTATCTTTGATACAACTGAGGAGAACTTGGACTTTCTTTCTGGCTTCAGATTTACTATAAAGCCTTGTATCTGCTCATCAATGTAGCGCACGGGAGATCTTCCTGGACTGTTACCACGGCTGGAACTTCTGCTACGTCCAGTATTAGCCTTTTCCAGAAAACAATCAACAGAAGATACCTACAAGATCAAATGCACACTAAACTTAATATAAATGAAGGCAATAGAAATCTTCTCCAAAAATCACAAAACATAGTAAAAAGGTCTTATCTCACGTTTCCATACCTTGATGGACTGCAGCTCTGGTGATCTAGCAAGCAAAGACCTAATGTACAAAATTCGAACACGTGATACAAGCATGGTATCCATTACCCTCTTTGGTTCCATTTTACGAATAAATGAGAACACAGCATCCCTAATTTCAGCAAGTATTTCATGCTCTCTAGAAGCTCCTGCTTTAATAACTGCAGCTAAAACCTGCAATGTTTTCATTAGTAATCAGAATTTCTGCAATGCTTTTTACTCGAAGAAACGACACTCGCGAAAAGACGTCCTAAAGGAAATTCCAGAAAAGTTTTGGAGCCCCATGATAGAATTAATCATGGTATCAATATCCAAAACTATTTTGTACATAGCATGCCATGAGCAATACACTAACCCCAGTCAAAAAAAAAGTGTGGAAAAAACCAATTAAACAGTTTTGCAACTTTTAAGCGTGAAATTATGAAGCTTCTTTACTCGATTAATTGAGGAACCACGGTTCTCAGTACAAAATCTACATTTACCAAAGCTAAATTATTGAAATTTGGAACCTGTTATGTCCATGAAAAAACAAGTGGAGGCAAAAAACAAAAAAAGGATGACTTCATTATAAATCCATATGAAACCAGCAAATTAATAATAACAGACCTGGTGGCACCAATGAACAAGTAACAATCATCCCCCCACGCAAAACATACCAGCATTAGTAGCTTGTTTGCCCCATCTGAAATAGCAGCAAGGCTGTCATATTGTTCAGGATCAAACTCATTCAAGGCAGCAGTAAGGTATTCTCCTGCTGGTGTGGTCTTTTTTTCGGAATCGGATTTAACCAAAGCAACTGTACCCTCAGTCTTCTCTACAGCCCAAGGGGAAGTAGCACCATCCAATGAACGGCCTTTATTGTCGTTCCTGTTTGATATCAAATAAAAGAATAGATTGTTGACCAACACCATGTAGGAGTGGGCAAAAACAACAGAGGACAGTTAAATTGACAATTTAACAACTGAAACAACCATACCTCCCTGTGTCCCGAGGCTGCACATTTACCAGTCCTTTGGACAATGGACTTGACAGCTAAAACAAATGAAAGGAAGTCAGAAATCAGGAAGCCCTTGACAACCAAATAAGCCCAATGAACAGAAATTAACTTTTACAATCATCATACAGCAAGATGGCTGACACCAACATAATGAACAAATTAAGACTTCTTTTTTTATTTTATTTTTATTTTTTTTGAAGAAATATTGGGATCATGAAACATCTACGTAAAAGACATACGTTAAAGTAAACAAATACAATGTCTGCACAACTTGAGAGTCAATAACTTATTTCGCTGAAATAATAAAAGTATTTCCAGAAAAGAAAAAAAAGAAAAAAAAAAACCAGTAGAAATATAACAATAATTATGGAGAGTGTAGTTACATTATTATTTGATGTTCATATCAAGGAAACCGGTTTATTGAAAAGACTATATATGTCTAAACAAGGCCTGAACCTTGCAAGCTCATCATGTCGTCACATTTCCATAATAGATTATATCAAAATGGCATCAGCAAAATAACAGTGAAAAGAAAAGAAAACCAACAAGATAACAATCAGAAAAAGGCAACAGCAAGTACTATTTCGAAAGACTCAATTCAGAGCATCAGGTAACAAAATAACAATAAACCATTAGTATACTGCTTCACAACCCATTGACACAAATGAAACGATCATTTTAGCAATAATCGAATAAGGTAAGCAAAATGAACGAACGTGGGATTTAATCAGCTACAACATTGAAAATACATGTACGAAGATAATTCACAAGCAAGATTACCTATAAATGAAGAGAAGATAATTCACAAGCAATATTGCTCTATAAGTGAAGAGAAGAGAATTGACCTGTGGCGATCCAACCATAGATGCTTTCTCTGTCAATCTATCAAACAATTTCTCATTTTCTTCATGCAATCTCTGGAGAGAGAGAGAGAGAGAGAGAGAGCACATTAGCCGTCCAAACAGTACAGAACCTATGCAATATGCATGATTATATTAACAAGTATTTGGCCAATTAATTCAGATTTTAGATCTCAGAAATTACATAGATAAACATTCCGCTTAAAGGACTGAATTATTCAAACATACAAAAGCTTAAAGGATTTCAACCACTATTAACGGATTAATAGTCCTTGACTACGTTTTGTTTATACCCTTTTTCTCTGATAAGAAAACTTACCTTTCATTGATAAAAATCAACTACAAAAGAGAGGACGAGAGATCCTCATCTTTCATTGATAAAAATCAACTACAAAAGAGAGGACGAGAGATCCTCATAAAACAGAAAGCTAAATCAGTGCATACCTCAATCAGTGCATCACGCTTTTTGAGCTCCTCTTCCAATTTCTTAGTTACTGCAGAAGAATCCATGCCATCCCCACTTGCCCTGGAAATTGATGGGAGCCCAGGCCCAGATCCTGATTCTGAGCTAAATGTAGATCGAGATTCACTAGAGTGAAGAGCATCACTGAGTTGGGATTCAAGACTTTTAATCTTTCCCTGCACGAGAGTGGTAAATTAGAATAAGAGAATGCTTATATACCAAAGTAACGCAAACAAGACACTGGAAACAGAAATATGAAACTTTCAAATGGTAATGGAGTCCATCACGATCCAAACTGTTTCTATTATTACTGGATAGTTGAAAACATGGTGGATGATAGGTGTGTCATATATAATTCAACATGAAACCTCAAGAAGAGAGAAAAAGAAAAGAGGAAAATATCAGAAAAATGATGTGGCCCAACAATGATATTGTACAAACCCAATTACCTGCTCAAATAAGCATCAGATATGAAACTTTTCCAACTTATTTCTACTGGAATATTTCGAATGTCAGGTTTCTAGTCTCAAAAATCAATCATTACTTATAGAAACTTATCCTTGACTAGGTTGCATAAGAACTACATATGAACGTAATTGTTGACTACCATCATTGGCTATCACTTGTCTTATGTTAAAGCTATAGTCAATAGCTGAACCACAGTGCACTCACTTACAATGTTTCAAATCTGAAGATACGAGAAAAGAATTCAGTAGACATAGAACCAACCTGCAAAGTCTGAATGGTCGAATCTTGTTGTTGTATCTGTAGCTTTTGCTCTTGCTCCAACTGTAGCAGTTGAGCAACTTGATTTCGGAGCTGGGCATTTTGTTCTTTCTCTATTTTATGCTTATCTGCAAGCATAACACTCTCCGACTGCATCAAGCGCGAATAATTAGTAGAAGTTATGCGCTTAATAAAAAATAAAAAAAAAGCTCTAAGGTCATAATATGAAACATCTGATAAGCAGGATGGTACGACCAAATGAGAATGAGTTGCCAACAAACACTGTTGAACTTGACAAAACGGAAGAACCATTAAAAGTTGAACTTTAAAAAAACAAAAAACAATAAAAAAAAAAAAAAAAAAAAAAAAAAAAAAAAAAAAAACACTAATCAAGTTGCAAACCTTCAAATCTGACTGCAACGCATGAGAAACTTTCCAAGCCTTCTGAACCTCATTAAAGAGTAAAACACACTGATCATTTGCATCCTTGAGTGCATGTTTAAGACCCAAAACTTCCTGTTTCAAATCTTGGATTTCTTTTTCCCTGTCATATAACTCTTTACGTGCATCATTTGCCTACAAATAGCCATCAACTGAATTTCATGAGGTTTATATTTATAGTTGTTCTTATATCTAAACACAGCTAATACAGACTTGCCAAGCAAACTATGCTTTATTGCATAAATGGTTATCTTTTGTGACCTTGGAAAGTTTACATTTGGAGGAGAAAGGAGAACCTTCGATCAGATCCAGGCTTGAACATAAAGTAGTTATGTTTCACCATTAATACGCTAGCTTTTTTCTCTCTTTACTTCTACAGAAGTTTTGGTACTTAAAATTCTATTAGTGACTGCTAAGGGCCCATTTTAAGCCACTACCATTCTCACATGTCATCTGAGCAAAAGTTATACTGCAGTTATTTGATATCTGCTTACAGCGAAAAAGAGAGAAAAAGACAACTTACAATATCTCTCCATTTCTTAATTGTATCACGATTTCCAAGGCTTAGGACAGCATTCCGAGATCTGGAACCAAAATTCAGTGAGGATAATGTCTCCTTCAAATTCAAAGCATTTGGGCAGACATTAAGAATCATCAAAGTTTTTGAAGTTCCACCTGAAGAGGGGGAGAAGGGAAATAGAACAGTGACACATGAGAAACTTCCTTGAAAATGGTTTACAAATAAACTCGCAAGGAAAAAAAAAAGTAACTAAAAATTTTTTTATGCAGATTATCAGGAAAAAGAAAAATAAATAAATAAATAACCTCTTGATCTTAGAAACTCATTCATCATGATTAATGGAATACCTAGCGAGTCTGCAAGCACCTTTGTTAGCATTGAATTCTCATAAGGAATAACATCTTTTTTTGAGGTCAAAGAAGCCAAAACATCTCCCAACCTACATGCACAACATTAAAAGTTGAGAGATTATGCAAAGATTGGAACAGTACATTGAGAAAACATAGAAACCCAGTTGAGAAATGCATAAAAGAATAGGTAGTTTAATATGACAAAAAATCTTTAGTCCAGCCAGCATGCAAGAATCTCATAATTCAGTTTGAGACATAAGTACAACAAATTAGATATGCTCATATTTTCGATTCTGATCGAATAAGCAGTGCTTAGAAAACAAAACAACCATATATTTAAGAAAGAAAAATAAAAGATGACATCTTATCTTAATCTTAATATTGATATTAATAAAAGAGGTAAATCATTTAGTAGCCAGGGAAACGAAATGAGAAAAAGTAAAAAGCTACTGCCTAAATACGCATGCAACAAAAAAAAAAAAACAAAAAAACAAAAAACAAAACAAAACAAAAGGACAGATTTGTAAATGAGTTTAGCAAATATGACATACGCTGAAAGTGATTTCATGACATGCAGCAAGTCCGTCACTCGCTCACCACTTTCATCTTCTGCAATTGATCCTTCACTTCCAGCCAAGTCGACAAGAGAAAGCTTGCTGTATGAGTTGTCTCCGGTGATTAAATTGCTATAGTATATATGCATCGTGAGAATCCTGACAATACCAAGACCAAAAGGCTCCAATTAAATAAATAAACCATGAGAGTACATTTTGATCCTTTTTGGTAGAAAGAGTGCATTTTGATCTAAATATTAAAGAATGTTACAAGAATTTGGCATAAATTGCTACAAAAATTTGTCAAGCTTTCCTTTTATTGAATTAAAGAACATCTAATACCCATAAAAAGGTTTACATATTGATAAAATTCCCTTCAGCCAGGTTGTAATAAAAATTTATACCATGAAACGTATGCAAGGAATTGCAGAGATAACAAAACAACAAGAATTTACACAACTATACTATTGATTCATGTAAATCCATTAGGACCAATCTTGCAATTTAACTATAGCATTGTAATTCAGTAAGAAGGGTTCTTTAAATGAAAACTAGAGTTTGCTTTGGGAAAAAATGATGGCAAAAAAATTAATAAATATATATTAAAAACAATGTTGCTCTTTTGATGATTCCAAACAAACATCAGCGTAAAATGTTTGAAAATTGTGTAACCATCTGATTTGAAGGTACGGAATGTGGACCGTACAAATGAGAAACATTAAACTTTGATATATCATTTCCCCGGCTCTGAAAAGCAGCTTTAAGAACTCTAGAGAAGTCCAATGGATTATCAACTTTTTCCTGGACAAGTTCTACAAAGGATTCCGGTGATCCCAAGCGAACCTTTGGTAAGGCATCCCCCAACTCTGAAAGCAAATCCCTCATCTAAAACACGAAAAAGGGTTACATCAAACAATGATAATGATTCCATGCTCCAAAGTCATCCAGACAAACGAATGTGGACCAGAAAACAGGACATTTCAGTACTAGAAGTAGAATAAAGGGCAAAGACAAAAGTAAATGTAAATATAAATAAATAAGTAAATAAACCTGTTCATTATATAGCTCAGCAACTGTAACAGAGAAATTAAATCTACAAGTAGAGGTCGAATCATAGTTGGCTAAATCAAACAGCTCCTCAAAACAACGAGCATATAAACCCCGATCGTGACTAGATCCTTCCTGAGAAAGATTGAAGAGTACAAAATATAAACTGAACTACAGAAATAGAAATTATGAAATTAACATGCTTGAGACACTAAAGGCATTTAAAAGCCAAGGATGATAAATCCACTAAAAAAAAAACAAAGAAAATTACAAACATCCTTCCAACCCAATTGCACAAAAAAGAAAGGTATTTGAACAAGTAGCCTAAAATGTCGACAAAATTTTGGGCTGTTTGGCTCTTAGGTTCATGCAGTTTGAAGTTTGAACCACGAGGCATTCCAAACCACTGTTTGGATGCACAAGTTTTGGCCCCATTTTGAACCATGATGTGATTGTTTAAACCAACCAAACCAGAAAAACCA